CCCCATCCTCTGCCTTCCCCAATCTGGGACCCCTCGGGGGATGTCCAACTGTGGGTTTAGACCCCATCCCACAGGGGCCTAAACCGGCAGTTGGACATGCCTCTCGCAATCCGGGACTGCTAGCTCCTAACCTCTCTCCTGCCTGCCTGCCTGGTCACCCCTAACCCCTTTGCCTGCCTGCCTGATCGCCCCTAACTGCTCTGCTGCCAGCCTGATCACCCCTAACTGCTCCCCTGCTGGCCTGACCAACTCTGCCTCAGCCTCCCACCCGGGACCCAGACTTCCCTCCCCTGGCTGGCCACAGTCATCTGGGCTTCCCTCCCTCTGGCCAGCCACAGGCGCCCGGGGCCAGGGGAGGACAGCTTCGCTTGGGCCACAGCCATAGGTGCTGGCGCCCAGGACATTGGGCAGGCGGCCTGTTTCAGCTTCTCTTCTCCCAGGCCACAGCTGCAGGCGCTGGCACCCAGGCCTGTGGGAGGGCAGCTTCGCCCAGGCTGGCTTTGTCAGGAAGGACATCCAGACGATGTCTAGTCTAAATAGCATATTACCTTTTTATTAGTATAGATTGCTTCATTTGCTCTTCATAGCTACTCTGGAATTGGACAGGTGCTATTTTTTATTTCCCTTTTGTGGGTACTGGCTCTGGACATGGTAACTGCCATGGTCTCCCCTTTGTACATAAGCATCCAGGCACAAACCCAGGTAGGTCTGTCCTATATGCCTTTGTCTTACCACCATATCAGAATACCACTCAAATAATTTGAAATCCTTACTTCAAATCAATATTGTGACCACTAGAGTGGGAGAGGAGGGTGTGGGCAGAATGAAGGCAAAGGGAAGAAGGTTTGGGGGGATAAACAGGCGCGATCCAGTGGCAGAGCAGAAGGGAAATGGAGGGACAGGAGAGCAGGAGGCTGAAGAGCTGGGGAGGGGCTCACAGGGTGCAGAGCGCGTGTCCTGGGAGTCACATCTGCACACTGGTCATTCATAGCTATGCTGCACAGTCCTCTAGAAATGCTTATTGTTTTTGGTTCCTTATGTAAACAACCATCTGCAATGTTTCCATTCTTTGAAGTTTTTAACTTTTTAATGTTTTTAAACTTTTAATGTTTCTTTGGTCCTTCCTTTATTCTTTTCTTTATTCCTTTACTCATATTTGATTATTTTTGTGTGGAATAGTTATATGAATATGTTTTAAATTATGTGAGTTTTAGAAATGCACCCTAGAAGTTTACATTTAACCAATATTTTTGTCTAATTCTTTTTTTAAATTAAATTTATTATTTCTCCATCACCATTTATCTCCCCTCTTCTACCTCCACCCTACCAGTCCCTGCTCCCTTCTCCGTATTATTGTATTTCACAGATATTTCAATGATCAGAGAATATACTCTTACTCTAGGGATAGAAAATCCATTTTTCAACAATCAGCTGACCTGACAATTATAAAGTAAAATTTTCAATATAAATATCAATGCAGTTTTCCTCACTCTATATTCAAAGGTCAGGAGGCTTGGGTTTTGTACAATTGACCTTTTAGGTTTAGCACAAACTAACCTGCAACAGGACTTTATAAGCAGTTTTATATTTTTTCTCTTGTGAAAAGTCAAGTGATGTCACCTTTGCACCTGTTACCTTGACAAGATGTTCTGAAATAGAATTCTGATAATTAATAATTATACAAAAAACCAGGCCCATTTTATTTGCACAATTTAAATTAGTTCTGTGTTCATTTAATTAAAACTCAAATACATAACAGAGGCTGAATACCTTCCTGGTGGTATTCTCCAATTCTAAGCATCATTATTGAGTTTTAGTACCCTAACCCTACCAATTCCAAATCCTGAATTGACTATTTTTCCACAAGTAATATTGCCTATCATTGGGTCATGTAAAGGGGCCTGGCATACCCATATTCTTTTACTTAGTGGAAAATTGGGAGAGAAGATAGTGGCCTAAAGCTAGAGAATTAGATTCTGGGACATAAAGTACAGTGGGGCCTTGACTTACAAGTGTAGGTCCCACTGTGTTTTATGACATAGGTGAGCTAAAGGAGCTCAGGTCTAGTTCTAGTTCTTCGACTATGTGTCTGTGAGAATTTCAACGAGTTGCCAATCCTCCATGGGCCCTTAATTTCCTAATTTCCAGCAAGTGGGGATGAGACAAAAATTTTAGCTGAAAAATCTTTTGTTTTTCCTCCAAATTAATCTTAATTCAAATTATTCAAATGTAAATAAGACCAAGAAAAGCCCTCCTGATTGCTTTAGCAGTAGCTTCATCCTTAAGCCTACTGAATTTCTCCATGTATCATAATATGAAAGTCAGTGGGCTACATAATTTTTAGGGCACTTCCAGTTATACGCGCATTGAGGTCTATCTTACGTTAGAAGAGATAATCTAAGTAACTTCAAATTAATAGTAATGACCAAAAAAACAAAAACAAAAAAATCTCTTCAGTCAAGTATATGATACATTGTGGTTTTGATCCCGGTTGTTTTTTCGGAGAAGGATGCAAGGGTGATTTCTTTTCCAGGTCCTTGTTCTCCATGTATCATAATATGAAAGTCAGTGGGCTAAATAATTTTTAGGGTACTTCCAGTTATACATGCATTGAGGTCTATCTTACCTTAGAAGAAATAATCTAAGTAACTTCAAATTAATACTAATGACCAAAAAATCCAAAAAAATCTCTTCCGTGATACATTGTGGTTTTGATCCCGGTTGTTTTTCTGGAGCAGGATGCAAGGGTGACTTCTTTCCCAGGTCCTTGTCCAGATGGATTCAAAGACTGAAACCATGGACAAAAGGTGGTAGATGAAAAGGGTGGAAATTTATTGGAAGCAAGTACAGACTCCCATTTAGGGGGTATGGGTGGGGGGAG